CCCTAAATATGCCTTTATTCCCTGGGCTTAAAAATATGAGAAAATTGGCTACTGACATTAAAAACCTCCACATAAATGTACATTACCTCTGCACAGATATCTAGAATAATCCTAATTTGCTTCACTTTTAGCTTACATTGCTGTTCTTCAGCAGTGCAGTTAATGAAAAGGGACACATTTGAGTGACATAAGAGAGAGAAAATAACACTACCTCCTCCTTTTGAAGATCTTCCTCTCCTTATATCCCCTGTAGTGAGACTGAATTGTTACTGCTGCTTTGTTCCTTGCCTCAGTTAGTTCTTTTCTCTTCTTCCTGAGTAAGTATCCTCTGGCAACTGATACAAATTGTAATATAAAACAACCTTAGGCAACAAGCAATGGGTGTCCCACACATTTCAGAGAGTCAAATGATAACAGCATTAAACAAAAAACAACAAGGAAATACGGACCAGGGTGTTATTATGATTATGTTTCATCTGAAATTATTCTGTCCCACAAAACTTTTTTGAGATTTCAGAAAGCAGTACCCATTCTACATGAGGATACAAACAAGCCCTTTCTTTGTATCTTATTGTACTAAAGAAAATACAGGAAGAGGCAGAATGAAGCAGAAGCATAGTGCTATAGAAGTGCCTCTAGAACACAGTGCTCTCAGCTTCATGTACCTGCTTTGCCTGATTCAGGCAATTGATTTGACTCAGTCTTTCATTTCCCTGGGAAATGCCTGATTATCAGGCTATAGAGATTACCAGGCTCTCTTCTGGCATAGGCTTGGAATTAGCTGAACATTCACTAGATCAGAAAGAAACTGAAAATTTTATAGCTCAGCAGTTACAGATGACTTAGCTCATGCTCCTTTTGCAAAGACTCATTATTCAAAATGAAAAAGCTCAGCATGAAAGATGCGCTAAGCTCCACAGTAACCAGGTGCACTGTGGCAAGGGTACTCGCTCCTTGTGCTTTGTGGGAGGCACAAGTTCAAGATTCCGGTCTGAACCAGGATGAATAAGGACTCAAACATGGGTCCTCCCTGAGACGTGTAGGCACTGACTAGTCACTAGGGGCTTGATGCAGTTGCCAGCACATAGGTATCTAGTGCCATCTGAAGTGCTCCAGGATAGCCAAGGCATTTACATGGAGCTGACAGAAAGAACAAGACAGATTGGACTTTATGGAGAGAGAAAGTTGGGTATACCACACGAAATAAAGCTGGAGGCCAGGCAAGATAACCTAGGGCATCTCAAATGACACTAGATACCAATATGGGGTCAAATGAGCTGAGTATTTGGTGGTTTTGAATAAAATTAATCAAACTCTAGGCTCTGCTGACTATAAGAGGAGTTTAGACACCTAGGTCACTTTTAGACATCTAAACTGAGGTGTCTTAATCAGAAACTGAATTGCATTCAGAATGTTGCTTCAAAAATTCCTGCACTTGCAAATAATTTCCTAATGGGAACTGATAAGAGTCTCCACAGTGCTGTGATTTGGACAAGTCTGCAATTCCAGGGATTCAGCATAAATCCCCTAATCCCTGGCAAAATAAAAAAACCATAGTGTTTTGTCAAAATATTTCTGTTCAACTCTAATTCCAAATGTAGTACCAAGACTATGGGGATAGAGGATTCAGGTGATTTAAATACTCTGAGGAGATGGTAGATATGGGAGCTCTTACTCCAACTCTGCTGAGAGCGTTCTGCATCACAGGGAAGTGTCAAGCTCACTTAAGAATGGGAAGGGAGCATAAGCAGTCTATTCTAACACATTCATATAACTTGGTGCTAGGTTTTATTTGCTTTAGCATTCCCTACTCATAATTTAGACCAACTTGGGCTCCACTAGATGCAGTGATTCATTGTAAGAAGCATTGTATAAAAGGGACATAAATTACATCTTGATAATTGGATAGAGGGTAAAGGAACCCAAACACTTATTGGAAGTGGCACAATTCATTTTTATACTGCTGCCTGACAGGGCCTTAGAAAAGTGCAAATTGTAAAGCACTTGGTATACTTCTAGAGTTTCTTGGACTTCTGAGCCAATCCTCATTCCATTTTCACACAAAAGCATCTCAACAGGAGTTATTTTGAAGTAAATCAAGTTACATTGTCAATGGACATGCCAATATAAGCTAAGTCTGGTCTTTTTAGAATTATTCTGGTTCTTGAAGTTTCCTGAGAACTTTGTTATGAGATAGTAGCTGTGTAAGCTTTGTTTTCAAACTGGAAGAGGAGTTTTGTATTGCTTTAGAGATAAATGAGGGGAAAAAACCTGAGAGCGCTAAGTAAAAATGGACTTCCGTTTTGTTCATGCTTCTCGTGTGCTGAAAAAAGTTGAAATTAAACTGCACACAGGACAGAGAAGGTGGTCAAGAAGAAACATTGGGGAGTTCAACAAACAGAGCAAAGTGGTAAATTCACACTTTTGCATTTGCTAAATATCCTAATATAATTGACAACTTTCAGATGTGTAATTATTTTTGGCACATCACTGGAGTTTATTCTGGCTTTAGATTGTTTTCTACACTGATGAAGTTCTACCAACTGCAGTGAAGTGCTCTTCAGTACACACTAACCTTGGTTCACTGCAATTGACAGATGCATCTGACAATGACTAAAACCAGCACTGGTGTCCGTATATACTCATGAAGGCATATCTGAGGTAGTTTAAATCTAGATAGCCTGGGTACTGGCAGCACTAGCTTATATTTGGGGTTGCCACCTTTGTAATTACTGAAAGTGCGGTGCAGATTTGTGCCAGCTGTTTTCAGACCTGTGCCTCTCTAGTTGTACTGCTGCTGTTTTCAGAGCTGCCTTGACTACATCTGGCTTGGGGACATCTCTGCAGGGACGGGGGAGACAGAAATATAGGGAGGAAAAAGGGATGTCACATAGCATACATCTGGGCCCAAGGTGATTACAGCTGCAGAAGAGAAGGAATATTTTGCTAGGTTGGACTGAGTGATAGCAAAACAAAAATCTGAGACATGAGTGAAATTACAGGTTATAGTCTTCTCAAACATAAGTATTACTAATATGTAACAAAACCTATTGCTAACAGAACAGCACGCACACACACATGCTATGCAGATAGTGTCATATGGGGCTTCAACAATACCAGCTGTAATACTTAGACATATCAGACTAGGAGTGAAGAGGCTTGCTGTGGCATTAACTAGCCCACTTCACAGTTGTGGAAAGTGCCTGTAAGCCACTTTGAGGTAAAGGTAAAGGAATACATTGACCCATTTCAACCACTGTATATAGATATATAATAGATAAATTATACCTCAGAATGTGTAAATGAACATAGTCAATCAGTGTAGCTAGGTAACAGCAAAGAATCTGGATCAACATATTGTGTACAGATAGCACATTAAAAGCCACAAAAGCAAACAATTCTTACTTGCTTGAAGTCTAGTAATATATTCTTCCATTTTTTTATTATGTTTTGTATTTGTGTATTCTTTACGAGCAACAAAACCCCTGTAAGCTGAAAAAAGATGTCAAAAATTAAATAATCCGTTAGCTACACAAAAGGCTGCAAAAATAAAAAAAGTCTGGAAGGAATTACAGACCTCCACTAAAATATTCATAAATATTTTGCAGGCTTTATCTTTCCAAAAAAATGGCAAACAAGCACAAGCAGTGAATCTACGTAAAAACTATGTTTTCTGGTGAGTAAGGTTATTATGAATGAAATGAATACAAAACACGAGAAAATCAGAATGTAAAATAAGATGATGTTTGAAATGTATTAAAAATTGATGTCTCCATCAACAGTGTAATTGGTCTTATTATCTAGGACGGTTAAGACATTTTATTTTCATTATTATATTATACAACCTTGTCAGACCATGCCAGAATATTATTAATAACAGTATCATCTGTGCAACCACATTGTTCCATTGTTAAAATTGCCTTTTAAAAGTAACATTGATAAACCTAACTTCAGTAAAGAGATTGTCATAACCTGGTTAAAAGAAATTTTTCTTCATAAGAACAGGTATCACCAAGTGTAAGATATTTTGCCAAATATAACAGCAGGAAAACAGCAAAATCCACATCCTGCATGCACATCCATCTATCAACTGTACACAGGCACTAGCTTTAAGCAAAATGGTAAATGTTTTAAAGCTATTACCTGACTGTATTTTAATAGCACTTTGTTCCCTTTGTTCCTTTATCTTTTTGTATCTCCTTGAACCCAGCCACCCTCTGACATAGGCTTGAATCAAAATAATCATGTCAACTGTCTCCTTCCGCATCAAATTTAGCCGCTCCACATGATAGTATTTGAGGAATACCTTAAAAAGAGTAGGCAGACAAGCAAAAGTTTTAGTTACCCTCACAGGCCCTGTATTCACTCCATCCATTTAACATCAACAAGAGTTACAAGTTGGTTTCAAATGATGAGCAGACTCTTTAGCTGTAGTATCTAAAGGATCATTCTTGTTAAAGATAGCATTTTGATTGTTTGGGGTATTAGTTTACCTTACTCTCCCTTCAACATCTTTTGTCAGTGCCTGCTTATTCATGCTTTCATGGGAAGATGTTTTAAAGTCCCAGTGCAAAACTTCAGTCTGTAACTATAAATCTGTTTTCAAAACTATGAGGCTGACAGTTTTGCTAACCTCACAGATCTGATGTATCTTACATAAACGTGATCCAAATCTGGAACCTTCAACCTCTCTGCTTTCCAATTAAATCTAAGGCATTGTTTATTTACTAAATTGCTTTTATCAAGCATGAAGCTCATATAACCCCTGAAAAACTAGTCCAGCACGAGGGATACAAATACATTCCTGGTGCATATTAGGATGAAATAAAATGTGTAGAAAGAGCTTGTGCAATTAAGACAATAATTATGCTTATTTTGCAGAATTCCCCCAATCTTTGATCACTCTTTGGTACAGATACAGGTTAACCCTAATTAAAGTAAATGTAAGCTATAGATCTCACATCTCAAGATACGCTTCCTTTGGCTGCATGTTGTCCATTAGCCTCACTAAGACAGCAGAGGGAAATAAAGGTTGAGGAGAAGGTAACTTCATGGCTTCTGTCCCACCTATCCAGGAAGATGTCTCAGAAGAAGAACATTTGTTTCTTCTACACTGAGGTGATTTCAAATAGTTTAGAATCCATCTCTCTCTCTATCCATATCCTTCCTGGGCACTTCTGTTACATTAGCAAATAGAGAGACTTGGTGCAGTACTTGTCTGATGCTTCTTTTCTCTGGCAGACCTCCTGAGATCTGTCAGTTGGGGGTAGGTGGGTGTCCCTCTCTGGCACACTGGGAAGACTAGTGAGCTAGAACCAAAAGCAAGAGTATGGGAAGAGACATGTGTTTCTCTTTATTAAAGCCTTCCCCCAACTTCACATATATGGGATCATCCTGCTATCTCTTCCCCCAGTGTTCAGGAAAGTCTGCCACAGAGGCCTCTGGCCGGAAAGCCAAAACCTTTTGCTCTCCCTTTGTGAGTCTGATTGCTCCAGGGACGAAGTATAACTTCTTTTCCTTAAGAAAGCTTGGACTAAGCTCACTGGGATCCTTACTACCACATTTTTTGAAAGAAAATGCAAGCAGTGTTGTTGTCACATACTGCTTTGCACTGTGGCCTCACTAAAGCTGATCAGAATTTTAACACTTTACAGGGTCAGGATTTCAGCCAGGTATCAAGGAACAGTACCCAGCAGGTTTTTTTAAACCAATAGGGACCAAGAGCTACCCCAATGAAATGGATGAGAAAACAAATTTCTTAATAAGTTAACAATGACATACTGCAATAATGCAGATACAGTATATTAAAAAATTACCTTAGTTTTTCCAAGAACCCAGTTGTCAAGGCGGGCTTTTTCCAAGATGGCAGCACAGGTTTCCGGGCTGACTGGAGGATCATCATTTGTTTTGTAACAGATGAGGTAATACCTAAAGACAAATATATGATTCTTTATTCCATTAATAGCGAGCAATAGATGCAAATACATTTAAACCATTCATTTAAATAATAAAAACAGTTGCATGAAAGAAAACATAGCACTGAAAAAACCAAAACAGCATATGAAAGAAATTGCTGTGATTATATGCAGTACTGAAAAACTCAATCAAAAGTGGATGAGTGACATTGCACACCCTGGAGGGTTGTTTACTTCTATATCAACACCAAAATGCTTTTAAAAAGTGTGCAACCCAAGTAGAGTTGTGCACCAGTTCTTTGGCTCTCTGCATTCTGTGAAAATGATTCCAGTGGCAAAATGAAAATATTTTTAAAGCTTTTCTGCCTAAATTAGCTTATTTCATATCTAGAAATCTCATGAAAATTTTATTTCTTATCTCATGTGCTAGACCACCTCTGAGATAGTTAATATGATATGAGATGCATCCCAGCTCTTGTTACCTCCTTGGATTCAGCTTTGCCGGTCCTTTTGGAACATATATATGCTACTATGACATATCATATGTAAGCATTTAATTTGGTAAACTCATTACTCAGAATTAATTCTGACTAGGAGAAGAGGTCAGGATGCTCACATATAAAAATTACCTGTAACGTACCAGCTCAGCTGCTGGGTAGGAACGTTCTTGCATGTTCCAGGACTTTCCAAAATGCTCCATAACAAAATGAACCATACCTATCTTGTTTTTTTTAATTCAGGAAAATTACATGAATTATGTGTGCTTCCTGACAGTACATTCTGCTTTTTTCTTGTTATTCAGCCTTTATACACAAAGCTTGGGTTGTACCAGCTTTAAATAACGGTAACAATTTCCTCATGGAATAATAAAAAAAGAGACGATGTTGATTCCTGCATTATCACCAATTCCTACAGCTCCTTTTTTTTTTCTTTTTACTACACAATGAATTGGCTTATTTTTATTCTAACAAAATAATTTTGCCATTATCCCAGGTCTACCTGTAACTCTTAACTATTAAAAAAAAAAAAAGACAAGGAGATAGATACTTAATAAAAATCCCTTTTTGTTTGAGGGCCATATCCTCAGTGCCAAAGATCTGCACAGTCTCACTGCAATGAGGGGCACGCTCTCTGGAGAGCTACCCCATTATGTTCACTGCTTTCCTCTCTTTTACCTGAACAGTAAAATTTTTTATAAAAAGCAGTGACCAAAAGCCACAGCACATCTTGGTGCAGTGATAACTACCTTTTCCCATGCTGCACTCTTCCAAAATGTAATAGTCCCAGGATTATTCTTTCCAGAAACTGCTATAAAAACATCACTTTGTCCTTCCTCTCTCTCCTCGTGCATCTGCAGCACTCTGCTGCTAGCTCTCTATTTCTAGTGCACTATTACTTTTAAGTGCTTCTGTCTGAATGGGTGTTCCTTGCTTCTTCCCAGTTTTGATCTCCATTCCATAAATCGCAGTTCTGATTGAGACAAATACTCAGGGTCTTTATTTGTAAGAGAGAAGTGCAGAATAAGTGCTCAGGATTAATTTTTTGGGGTGGAAGAAGAGATAGTTAAAGGAATTATAAAATCATAGTGAGTTCATTACTCTTCTTCTTAACAAGTGACTAATACTTAGAAATTATATTTTAAACAAAATTATGCACTTAATGAAGTTCTCAGCGCTAGATTAGCAATACCAAATTATCACCCACCCTGCACAAGCAGATGCTGCACAGTGCTGAATGTCAGGAGCTAGAGAAACTGTGGTGCTCCTTGGATGCTGTTGCTCCAAATTCTCAGCTTTAATTTGAAGCATTACATTTCTAAACCTCAAGTTTTTGAAGAAAACTTGCAGATTATAAGCAAGACAATTTTTACCCAAATGCGCAGGGAGCCTTAAACAATCATCCTGAGATGCATCATCTTCCCCTACCAATCCAAAACAGGCCACTAATCTTGTGCCTGAACTACTCTCTGTCATCCAGTCTGTAATCTTCTTTGTCACAGGAAATGTCTTTGTATTTTTTCTTTAAAGACCATACCAAAGACACTGCTGATGCTTAGCAAACACTGGGCAGCAATGATAGGAGAGAAAAAGGCTTCTTTGCATCAATGTTACCGTTTTATGAAGTTAGCGAACAGTATACGGTGTGAATAACCCTGTCTTCGAATTCTTGCTGTCTCCAGAATTCCTGTGTAACGCAGCTGAACCAATACTTTTTCTTTATCAAACTTGTTTGCCTGCCGGTCGTTGTTTGGCTTGATGCACCTGACAAAATGAGGCTGGCCGACGACCATTTTGGATAACAAATCCATCAGAGAATACTGCAAGAAAGTAACAAGATATCTGCCACCAGGATATTTATAAAACTTGTATATAGGTCTATGTGTAGCTGAAATTTTATTTCATACGATCAGAACCATGTCCAAACCTATTTACATTTCAGTAAGCTGGTACTTTAATGGTAGATGAAGTAAATGACCCAACAACAATTCTAGCTTTGATAAGATCTGTAAGTTACTAGCGTATACTACTTGAGAGAAACACTGATTCCAAATGGATGTACCAAATTCCACCCAGAACATTCTCACGAACTGCCATCATGTCTAACATACGATATAAACTCTCCTTACACTTACTTGCTTCTCTTGGAACCTTGTTAGGTGATTACAGCCCACTTTTTCTTTTTCCTGTTGTCACCTATTTGAAGATCCTTATTCACCCAGAGACTAAATCATCCGTCTACAGATGGAAAGTGGAAGAGCAGCAAGCCAGTAAATATTGCCATCCCTTCATTAGACTGGAGGAAACTAAGGCCACCCCCGAAGAGGGGCTGCTTAAACTGCTCTGATCTAGCATGTCTTGTTCATTGTATAGGCTGATGGTGATACTATAGCTGCCCTGCCAAGAGGAAACTTTCGAGGAGGAAGGAGGACAAAACTAGAAGTACACAAAATCACAATTCCAGAGTTGCATTTTTCCCACCTCACCAGGGTACCGGGCTAGCAGAGGGGATGCAGTCTGTAGCTCCCCATGCCAACTGAGGTGAATCTGGCTGTAAACAACCTTGACTGGTGTTTTGTAAAATTGCTTCATGAGAGGATCTTATTAAAACACAAATGAAGAGGCTCATTCCTCAAGATTCAACCTGACTCAACGGAAAGAGGCAGCCAGGAGGTAATGCAGTTCAGCAGTAGGTTGGATCCATGAAACTAGTGTAGGACGTCAAGAGCCATATGTTTCCTATTAAAATGTGCAATTCCATTCTGGACAGACGCTGCACCATGCAGCAAAGTGCTTAATTAGCTTCATCACTAGTGTGCCAATCGAACACAAACAAGTAGGACATGCTAATGGATAATTTTTTTTTCCACTCAGTCTGAGGTGGCAGATGCTTTTCTCAATCACCCATAGATTTCTGCGTGTGAGTAAACCAGTGGGGCTGAAGCTGAATCTTCATTTAAGAGCATTAGCTAGCACGGTCTGAGCAGGGATTTCCACTACAGAAAATAGTAACAGAAAAGTGTAAATATAATTAACTCATTTGCAGCCTCTGATGCTAGATGTGCTGGTAATGCACTGAATCACAGACATTAGGTTTGAATGAGATTCAATAAGTTTTTCCATCTAGAACTTTAAAACACCATGCAGCTTTGGACCACCATGATATCTAGGCTGAAATTATCCTTTGCAGTCCACAGAGCTGTGCATTTGTATCTACTAAACAGAGATCTTGTTCCTTACTGTTCTCTGTCATAGATGTAAATGAACTCTTACGGGTCATGAACATCACCTCAGCCATCTTTATGTTTTTGCCGGGAGAGATGACTAAATAAGAGTTGGAAATTCAGAGCTGAGCCCAAGTGAACCAACTCTGTGCACCACTTTGGAGGAAAGAATGGTCTTCACAGCTATTTTCTATTGCAGGACCAGCAGCACAGCCAGTGCTTGGGAAGGTCAAGAGCACTGCTGAAGGAGCCACAAGGATGGACTCAGGACAGCCTCCAAGCAGTGACCTTCAAGATCTTTCTCTGGAGCTCCTGCTTCAAATTAACTTTGCGTTCTTGCTCCTTAAACTCTTAAAGAAATGCTGTACCACTAATGTCCAACCTCCCTTTATCTCCCTTGGTGGAAAAAAAAAGCAAGTGAAAGATTAATCTCGATCATCATACATCATCATTACAGAAATGTGGCTGTGTAATCAAGTACAATTAAAGATGAAACATCACAATCTCCTCTAGATATTTGTACTGCACAGACCGCTGCAACACATATGCAGTTCACAAGCTCTAAATGGATGACTGTTGACTAAATCAACAGGTGCATTTCAAAAGGTGAAAGAATAAACATTTCTTCTACTCTAGAAAAATTTATTAAAAGATCTGATATCTTACTCTAAAATAAGAAGCGACTGTCTGTGTTTTCATGCTGGTTGTCTCTCTTGGATGATGTCCGGTATCTCCTGCTTCATTCTGTAAAGATGAAGAAAGAAAATGACACCTTTTATCTCTGTCGAGCCTGCAGTGCCCTTTCCAATGCCACAACAAAGCACCCCTCAGAGAACATAATTAATTAAAAAAAAAGTATTCAATATTCTAAACAGAAAAAGTTACAGCATGATTACTAGCACAAATCAGTTACACCAGTACGTTACATTACTTTGCTACACAATACACAAACGTTCACACACAGAGGACACAATTTGACAATGGAAAATCTAAATAACTGCCACAAATAACCTGACAATGTCTGAGGTCCTGTCTGTTATTTCATCATCGCTGTTATTTTGGTAGTTCTCTAAGGAATTTGACTATACTCCACAGCAATATTTTAATTTCTCTTTTTACTAAAATACAGCTAGGAAATAACATTTTTTTTCCCCTGAAGTTGTTATATAACTACAGCCAGAAAGAAGGGAAAAGTTAGTTTTTTACCTCACGGAAGGAATATGAATTGCACAACACAAAGATATCCAGCTAAACAGAAAAGAAAATAGGAGAGGGAGAAAAACCAAGGAAGGGGTTACTTGCTTACTTTTAGTACCAATAACAGTATTGCCTTTCTAGTTTAAATTAGGGTTCAATGCAGAATCACAAAATCAGTTTTCTTACCTTTGTATGACTGATTGATTTCTGGGGGGTCCACATTTGGTAACTGATTGTAGTTTTGCTTTTAGTGTGTGCCAGGTTACCTATGGGAAGATGAAAGAAAGCAACCTACCAAAATGCTTACATCTCATCTAAACTAAAAACTATGCTGAACCACCTTATTCATGCCCCCAGTGGAACCATATGATTATAAAGGTCGTTGACTTTTTCGGAGTATGTCCTCATTTCCCCTTTTACCCTTGGGATGGAACAAGCTCTGAAGAAGTTGCATGAAGATGGAACATGAGCTGAATTTTCCTCCTTCAGCACTTATGTCACCTACTAGAGCAAAAAAATAAACAGACTGCTGCAGAAGGTAAGAAAGATACATCTTAGGGCATGCATGTGGTTTTACCCTAAGGATGTTATCGTACTATTCTAGTTCTAAGGCTACATATATATTAGTCAAAAAAAAAAAGTGCTAGCACCCCTTTATGGCCCTGAGGGCAAGTGACATGGCATGACTCAAGTCTATACAGCTAAACTCTATACTTCACTACTCTTTTAACCTCCTGGTAAAAATAAGATTGTATCTTTGCACAGAGCTTGTTGGAAACCATCGCCGGCCTGTGCTTTCTCTTGAAGTGTGCCTGGGTATTTCTGGGAGACTGTTAGCTGACATGGTCCAAAACTGTCCCAGGGAGGCATGCTAACAATTAATCAGAATGGGCAGTCCTGTGGGAGTGTTTCAGCTACTGTTCACTGGCCCTGTTTGGTTTACTTGCATAGACATAGTCGTAATACCTTTATTATGATGACTTGAAGGACTAGATGCACTGAAGTGGTTTACACAGACACTGGTCTTCTAAAGGAGTAATGAAAATTCTGCTGAGCTTTCCGTCATGTCACTCTATGTTGATAAAACCCAACCATTGCTGCATGCTGCCATTGCTTCTGCTAATAACATAACACCTCTGGAATTTCACTCTCCATTGGGAGAGCCTGTAATCTCTCTGTGCTCAGCTACTATCAGTAAGAGGTGGATAAGAGTTGGATAAGCAGCTGCAAATATACGGCATGCCGAGCTAATGCGTAATGTGTTACGTGATGATATCAAGTGCTAAACCTCCCTTGAGCTTAGCTGAATATCACAGAGTGGTAAGGAAATAGAGGTTTACTCACACCTAACTTTAGGTATCTGAAAGTGAGGTGTCTACAGAATCCCTGCTGTATTCAGTGGAGAGAGGCACCTTCAGAGGAGATTTATCCCATCCTAAGAGAAACACCTGAGATATAGGCAAGATGGGTTGGACTCTGGGTAAAACTCTACATTTCCACTGATTCTAGATGAATAACTTAGATCACAAATCTAACTTTTAGTTGGCTATAGCTGGATGGTTTGGATCAGTTTCAAAAGGCCACACACAGTGTTTCATAATATTTAACAAGAAGACTAAAACAACCTTCAGAGTTATCTTGCAAAACATTATATAAGACTTGGGATCAGTTCTTAGGACCATTTGGGCCCTGACTTTGGCTCTACAGAAATTATAGTTTAGTATCTTAGCAGATATCAACAAGTCAAAAAGTTCAGGCAAGGACATTGAGCTCAGTGTTTTCCCAGGAACACTGGCTTAAAATAGACCTTCAAGACCAAATTTTGCATTCCACCAGCAAAGCTCCCTTTGTGAAGAATAGGAGCCTTGCCAAAACCTCAGTTTCTGTAAGCTACGATAACATTTTAGAGAAATTTCCATTAGGGTCTTCCAATTTAGCTTTTCTGTTCTACTACAAGCACATCTCCCGTGTAGTTGTACAAGAAAGGAATGTTGTAAAGTACTTACTGTATGGCATCAATGCCATGACACAGGGAGTAATACAACATAATAGCAAACTGATTGTAAGGAGACTTACCCATCATCCTAAAATGGCAGGTAGGACACTATGCAAGGACCTGGTCCAACCAAGGTGCAACTTAGGAGTAATTTCTGTAGACCCAGTCATACTCCTCCACCCCAACTTATGAAGGAGGGAGGGCTCACTACTAGGATCCCATCAGTTACCTATTGTAAAGGACTGAAAGACTGGGGAAATAGAGGAGTGTCTCCTCACCCTTTGCAGCAGATGTTAGGAGCCCCAACCTTGGTTCTCTACTACTTTAGAGAAAAATTGCACTGAGACGAAACAGGCAATTTATATATGCCCTGTCCAAAAAAGGCCAGTGACTTACCTGATCCTTTCTGTTCAGTCCTCAACTCAAGAGATGCACTCCACTCCCTGTCTTGCTCCCCTACCCTGAAGAGAGGACCCTGAAAGAAGCCTCTACCACTTCCTTGGCACTTGACCAGACCAATCCCTCCCCTGCAGCTTGAGATGGCTGGGGCTCCATTCTGTATAGATTCTAGGGTTGGAAAGTTAAGCCACAAAGTGTATAATGTCATCAACAAATGGTCATATGAAACCTAGCAGTGGTCATCACAAAGGCTAGAGAAGAATAAGAAGATTACCCCAATAGCAATACCTGTTTTTGTAAGAGGATGGGTTACCAACTGTCGCGTCAGATTGTTTTCAGATGATCGCAGTAGCAGCACGATGTCAGCTGGCAGAGTATCTCTATTTTTGGCTAGGAATCCACTTGCATTATATAGAACCTGTTTAAAAAGTGCATTTATGCATCTTCTGGGCTTTTGAAAAGTAATTGTAAATTTAAGCACTCTGGCATGTGGCTTTTAAAATATCAAGATACACAAATAGTTTTTCAGCCATCAGGCTCGCTCTTGCTTATAGTCTTTCTTTTGATCACTGATAGTTCTTACTTTTCAATACTGAGAACCACTGTGATGCAGATCACTAAAAGCAAATCCATCATTCCAAAGTAGCTTAAGACATTTATTTTCCCTAATGCAGATATATTAATATTAGTTTTAGCCAGTGTGGATTTATCACTAGGACAATTGTATTGTAGTCCTCCTTTACACCAGTACATGTGTAAATGCACAATTAACAATGCATTTGATTTCAACCATATCACACAGGATTACCCATATGACTGTACAATCTTTCTGTCTCATTCATATCGTGCTGTACTGGACCCAGGACGTACCACTCTTCCTAGAGATCTCTGTATTAATTGTAGAGGAAGTTTGCAAAATCACAAACTGCACATTGGCAATTGAAATCTCTCTAAAAATTCCAGGAATGGTACCTAACTCAAAATGTACCTCCAGGGTTCTATCTCAATGATGCTGTAAAGGACCCACAAGAAAACCTGGCCTGTGAAGAAGGGTAGAAGATACTGGCATATTTAATTTTGAAAAAAACCTCACAAAACAGCCCAGTAGCAGTCTTAAATCACAAAAAAAGGCTTGTAAAGGAAGAGGAAATAAATTGTTCTCCAGTTCCACAGTGAATAGAACTAGGAGTAATGAACTTACATCACAGCAATGGAGATACAAGTTAGACAGTAGGAGAAACTTCCTAATGAAAAAGCTTGCTGAACAGTGGAAAGGGCTGATGGGGCATTGGTGGAATCCCCATCTTCAGTGGCTGGTATCAAGAATGGTACGGGGAGAGCTGGCTCTTTGCTCCTCAGCAGTGAGATATGCTATGCTGGTGAAGTGTAATTCAGCTGGAGATGAGGTTCAGAGGAGTTACTTTTGTAGCTGGCTGTCTTACACAAGGGGCAAGTTATCTTCCATCAGCTGATGGGCAGTATGTTGCCTCTTTCCAGGCCAGCTGCTCCAGCACTGCACAGACCCAACACAGTTTCCTATGTGAGACAGCAATGCCCACTCCATACCTTTTAAAAGAGCTCAAAAGGAGGTGGGAGCTCCTGCTTTCCAAAGACAAGGTTCAGGTGACCAGTGGCATCTTGCTGCAGTGCGTCAGCAGTTTGAAAGGCATGTGCAGCAAGTCACCTTGTACAGGAGGACAAGACGCTGCTCACCAAATGAAGCAGAAAGCAGGGCCTGCACTATCTATCTGGCTGATGACAAAGTACAGAACTAAGTAAGGCTGATGGGGTGTAGGAGGTAGTAGAAAGAATGGAGCTGGATCCTGATTTGAAGCAGTGGGAACAAGCATGGTACAGGACTTTGAGGAACTAAGGGGAAGAGCACTGAGTTGCATTACATAATGGTTATGTTTTGGTTCTTCTATAATACAGTCAGTTCATTTACCTGGTGACATTTAAGAAAAATACACTCCTGGTATTGCTTGTTTTTATGGGGGAAAATAACTTTTCAGTTTACTTTTGATGTGTAAGACACTGCCAACATTACCATGTCAGGCCTGAATAAATGAAGATTGAGAACCAATCCAGCTGACCTCTTCTATTTCCTTCCAGCCCTACCATTCCACAATGCCCAACTAATATCATTAGGTCTCTTACCTTTCCTGCATAATGATAAATCCCAAAGGTTAGATCTACTCTTTTTGGTCTCCAAAAATATTTTGACTTCAAATTATCTTCAAATTTTTCTGAAAGGAAACAGATAGCTTATCTTACTGGAGTTACTGTACAATAATTGTCTTCTGAAGCTGTATCCCTCTAAGGATATTGCCTGACTTCTCAGACAACACAGAGGCATAAAACAGACTCTGATGTTTTTAAGGACAAAGATACCTTGTAAAAAAAGGCACTAGGTAGAGAATATGGGAGTTCTTGGATCAGTTACTTACTTTGTACCCATTTTTTTATGTGTGATCTCAGAAAATCACTTGCCTTTCTAAGATTCTGATCTTCATATATGAAATAGTGTAGTAATCCTCCCTAAGGATTCCTTGGGGAATTGTGAGGAAACATTTACCAATTGACTGAGGGCCTCTGTACTGTAGACTAAAAGGTATGAGGATAGAAAGACAAGCTCATATAATTGCTTTAGCATGGGCATCATTACTGGATGTTATTAGGTTTTGTGATTGGGTGTTGGTTAAAACTTTCATCTGATACTTTGCACATTCAAAAATGAGTAAAACAAGGATTTATGTGCACAGAAACCCCACCAAAATAACTAAATCAACTGTAACTGCAACAAGTCAGCAGTACTGAAATATTCAGGATCTGAATTACAACATATTTAGGTGTTTTAACTTTAATTTCTGAATAGAAAAAAACAGGAAGCATAATTTGCTGAAAGGCACTGAGGCAGGTTTGCAGCCATTACCCTTAAAAAGTACAAAAATTCTTGTTCAGATACGGCTCATCAAAAATCTCAGAGCTGAACATGACTCAACTTTGAAAACAGTATTCTTGGCATATGAACCTAGAGTTTTAACTCAGTTTGATCTTTATCTTTCAAGCCCTGCAGCTAAAAATTCCCGAAGGCAGGAGAATTCAAAACCTGGATCAGCAGCTTAGGTTCATTTGTACTCTTGATGTTTCTCTATCAACTTCGAAGACACATCCATCCCTACATGCATGCCTCCCTCAAACATACTGTGACACTGGAATGTGGGCTCACTAAAAACGTAACTAGCGTATAGCCTAAACTGGACGCGCCAAACAGAAATCTAACAGGGAGACATCCTGCAAAACTGTGAAATAAACCATATACTTACCTACAAGTGTCTGATCTGTTGCTTGTGGGAATCGACTTTCCTCGTCCAGCAGGGACAACAAACCCATTGGTTTCTGCAGGAACATATCTAAGAGGGGCCTGTTGTCCTCATATTCTATAACTCTTGCATCAACACCTTCATATAGGTATTCATTCTGTAACAAGCAACAGAAGGCATGTTTCATCTATGTTTACAGAACCACAAACTGTCAATTGTAGCAAATTAAAACTACATTGAAAAATTATGCCCTGGGGCTAAAGACATCCAGGTTTTGCAGGAACAAATGTCAGCTGGCATGTATCACACTGTCAGGCTATAGATTTTAATTTGCCTTTGGGTATGTAAGTGCTTCCTATGGCATATTTGGTAAAGTAAGATGCTTTCCAGGAATATGCAAGAATTAAAGAAACAGAGTTGAAGAAGGTAAAGTATAGTGCTTGCAGATGGAGACCTCAGTGTCTATTTACTTCCCTGGTCTGCAATGTAAAAAATATTTCTTAATCATTTAGAGCTACATTTACATTCCCAATTCATTACTCAGATCTATGTGATGTACAGTGGCCAAGATTTACAAAAATGCCTACATATTACAGAGGCCTTACTTGTTTGATCGCCTTCCTCAAACATCTGGAAAAGTTCTTATGTGGAGAAGAATGGTGCATGCATTTTCTAATAATGAAAAAATGCTGTACATATTTTCTAAAAATTAAATACATTGTCTTAGGTTGGACTTTACAACATTTTCACTCCTTTTAAGGAGCTAGGGAGAGGTATTCAGCAAGATTAAAAAACAATAGAAAAGCTGGTGAATTTTTTGCGTTTTTTTTTTTCTCCTGAAGACTGCAAATATCTTTGGATTCCTACCAGACTGAGAAAAACCTGATAACAAATGCTGTGTCCACAGTGTGTTGCGATGGTTTTATCTTGAAAATAATTTAAATTATAGCTGAAGAATGTAAGAATGACTTTCCTTAATCCTTCAGCAAGGCAGAGGACAGCCGTAGATTTCCCAAGAGAAGGGTGCTCTAGGGACTGCCACCCCTCCATCATTTTTGCCTGCATTACGTAATGCAATAGCAGTCATCCACTGCACAGTGCTCCCATATATACCAGGGCTGCCTTCAGTCCTGTGCAGGCTATACTATGAAACTCATAATTAAGCCTTTTGATCTACTTTAAAAATCATCTCTCTTCCAAAGGATAGGACTTTATAAAAGTGTTGTATTAATGTATGGTGTTAACATCACAGTTGCGCTAGCCTGAATTCATTGTGAGAATAGTGTCATAAACATGAATGACGGCTAATATTAACGAGTTCAAAGACCTCTAACCCTGAAAGACCTCTCCTTATGTGTCATTCACTTGAGTCTGAATGAGTGAAGAAGGCAATATATTGAGCGTTTCAAAAAGGAGTTAACTGCCATATACAACAGAAAAGCACATTATTAGACTTCATACCTCTTAACCTCTAAGTCAGAGAGAAACAGCAAAATAAATAAAATTAATAACACTGTCCTGGAAATACAGGCCCAAATAAATAAATCTGCTGATTCACTTGAAAGAGAACACAGAATATATATATATCTAAACCCTTCCAGTACCCAGATTGATCTAATTTCCCAGGACACTCTTCACTCTAAGGGTACGTTATGGCTTAGTTTATATGCCCGTACAAGGGTGCAAGCAGTAAGAATCTCTCCTACAGGCCCAGGAGGGCTCCTCATCTCAGACACATAACATTAACTTCATTCATATCTCCCCTGGAGCGGTGGACAGGTGGAGTTCTGCTTTTTATTTTAAGCAATGACCTGAGTAGCAGGACAAGACAGGAGAGTAATAAATGTATCACTGATATAGGCAAGAAGTTAATTATATACCTGTAGGAGCTAGTGGCAGGAAGGCAATGAGTCCGTGTTATCTCCCAAAGATAACACCGGAGTAGGGGCAGCTTAACCGAGGGCTACGGCTGTACCGACACACAGATGTTACGTTCATGAAACCAGCTGTTACTGCTTAGGATTATCAAGAGTACACTTATCAAGGGTGAAAAGGGAAGAGATTGCTCAGGATGAATCTATCAGAGAAGAGTGTTTCCGTGACACTCAGACATCCTCAAGCAAGCTCTCACAGACAACCTATCTAACAATTAACTTTTTCCAACTTCAAATGCTTGTGAGAGAGGCTGGTTTAGAGAGCTGACAAAAGAGTTCTCCTTGAAAGTGAAAGGAGGTCTGTAATAGCTGTACTACTACACTGTAACAGCAACTTCTGCTCCCCTCCCTGCCCAGCCAGCGCGCGGGGCCTGACCTCCAAGCCTGCAGCGTATGTGACCATTTGGTCTTTTGTGTCTGCACCTCGACAACTGAATGAGTGTCAGCGCTGACGGTTTTGGTAATGCTGCTGTCTGCCCACTAGGGTATGGAAGGAGTTCGCTCCATCACTTCCCATGGGCTCCTGGAGGATGGCTGATAACCAAGTCTTCCAGGCACCAGTGTGACAGATGGCTCAGAAATAAGATACTACATTACATTTTCTTATGCAATGCTGGTCTTCAACCGTATTATTAGGATACAAGCAGCAAGGCTAAAAGCCTTAATGATGCACATCATAAAACTGTAATGAAATAGATCTTATTTGAATTAATAAGCTGAATCAGCTACAGGATTCTGTAATCCCCCATGATGTTTTATGACAAGAAAGTTCCTTAAAATAGCAGCTGCTCATTGAAATTCTAAAGCATAATCCACTGGAAAGTATTCCTATGGATGGGATGTCAAAAGGAATGACTGACTGACACTAATACTTGGGCTCCTATCTCATCTCAGAATTGCATGGTATCTTTTCTGTGATCAAAACTAGGTAATATTAGCTTGTGCAACCTGGTTTCACTTAATAACAAAAAGAATTATTAAATGCATTAGGAAATTGTCTTCATGTTTAATAACAGTAATGGCATTTTGCTGAGAACACGGTATGATGATGCTTTGGTTTAAAAGGGAACAGCGGAGACTTATTCAGAATGAACCTTTTTCAGCTTAAAGTAGAAGATTAAATTGTCATATGAATGTAAAATAAACATTGCATATATTTAATGCAAAAAGTAGTATCATTCCAACTGACAGTAAACTTGCCACTTCCCGAAATGTTTTAGGTATTTGACATTACACCTTTTACTTTTTACGGAAGAATCATGAATGAGAAGGAAATGGGAAGGTTGTCTTCCTGGACAATGTTACCTGCAGATCATGGAGCTGACAGAATTAACTTACGTCAGTACCTTACATGTAAGGGAAACACCTTGAAGGGCAGGACTGAAGGTGCAAAAGTTGTGCTTTGCTTAATATTAACCTAAAAAAAGCTTGTGCCAGCATTCATTCCTCTTAACTATAGACACATAAAAGAAGTGACTAAGTTGAGAGCCCACATTGCCTCCCCAGTCAGTGGAGACAGAGATTATCTATTTGTCTCCACTGACTATCGGGAATCTAAACTATCTTTATCTTAAACTATACTCCCCACTTCAGCCTTTCTGTTAAATTAGGGAAAGGAGATTGCATTCAGGCCTAAAAGCCTTTATTCTTAAATGCAAACATTAAGTCCACAATAAAGAATAAACTCCCTTAATTTTGACTTGAGTTCTCCATGTTGGCATGCAGACACTCTGCTCTAGAAGACACCCTGCTCTAGCAGACACCCTGAGCCTCGGGTGGTGATAGTACCACTGTTCTTTCCTACTACTCCTATCACTTCTGAGGCCGTATTTTTGTAGGCCACAGTTCTGAGGAAAGCAAAACTGTGAACACTTTTCATATTCAGATACAGAAAAGAAACCACTGACAATGCTAAAAACATGTCACCTGCAATGCTGAAAGTACAATTCAGCCTTATGAGTTCATTTACTATTTGGCTTCATTGCTCAAGTTGCCAAATGCAACTAGTTATATAATCACTACTTATTAGGTTGACATGGGTTAATTGAGAACTAGATAATAATCAACTGATTTAGGCCTTGACTTCCCACTAGATATGCCAAATTTCATCTAATTGCATGTGGTATGGAATTGAACAGGGCAAAACAGGGAAAGAAATGAAGAAATAATGTACCTATAAGTTTTACTTCTCTTGAGGGAAGTGTGAAAGGAGTTGAATTCTGTTGTCTTCCTTAGGTAGATCTACAGGGTGCAATGCAGTGTCGTGTTAGAGATTTCTGAAATAGCACAGAGCAATCCAACATGTCTGTCTGGAATTGCACAGGGCTGTGGAGAGATACTAGCCTGGGTCCCCAGCAACAGGATAGCTCCATCAGAATGACAGTCAGCTTGGGCTGACGAAAAGTCAATGTAAAGGTCTTGGTGACTGCTGGCATCAGCCTTCTCCTAAACATAACTCCTGTCTTTTAGTATTAAAGACACAAACCCTTACACGTGTGTAGTCAGGCAGACACATGAGCGAAGGGCAGGGGTCATCCTATTGTTTGGCTTTTACGTAAGTGATACTTTGTATCATTAACAAGAACAATTTCAGTCATATGATTTTGAAAATATTTCCTTTTTTTCCATGTATAGAAAATTTAGTAATTATATTTTATATTTTCCTGCAAATAGCTTTCTGTCATTTGTCTGCAGGGAGGGCCTGTACAATTAAAGTACATTACTGGTGTTAACACAGGAGAGTCCTTACAGTGAACAGAAAAGATTCTGAAGCCACCTGCTTTCTCAAAAACTGTTCTTGTGATGTAAAACTGGAACAACCACGTTATAAATAAGTGAAAAGTGATGTCTTATAAAGACTATGAATCATACTGCAAATCAACCTGTGCCATTAGGTTGTAATGCAGAATAATACATTTGTCATTTCCTGGCTCTGAAAGGGGGGGGATTTACACCCACACTTGCATGAACTTAATCTATATAGCTCATTCTGCACTGCTGTAGTAATATCTTTGGAGACTGCTACAAGATAATATAATGAAGTTTGATATAATCTGGTGTAGTGGTGTCATGTAAATTAAAGTAGACATCTTACTCGGTATTACAGGCAGGATGTGGACACTTGTAATAGGAATATTAGGACTGGTATAAATGAAATACGAATGGAAATGTATAAGTGTATAAGCACCAGAAGAAAGAGTCTTAGAAGAATGACCTGTGATTTGAATGAAGAACATTTGTTCACAGCAATAAAATTGAGGAAAGTGTTGTTTACATCAAGACCAGAAGGCCTTCATTCACATAAAAACACAGTGCAGACAGCTAGTGAGTGGAACACCCTCTAAATCTGACAACAGGAGGATGACTGCAAGGTTACAGCACATCACATATGCCTTTCCTTTTCCTACGAGCCCACCAAGGAAACAGACTGTAGGCATAAAGATGTATATATTCCAAACAAGCAAAACCAGATAATGACCTTGCCTAAAGATTACGGAGGCTGAAGTAAATAAGGTTCTGAGGCAAAGAACCGCCCCGTAACAACAACTGATTGCTAAAGGGTGTAGAAGATCTGTCCAAAAACTCTTTCAGCAAGAAGAACCTAAGAGACATGATGAAGACTTGCTGGTGTCCCTTATTCTCTGTGTTCCTCACAAATGATCCTGGCCAGACCACTTGAACACACACATCCTGGTGTTTTCTACGTGGGTGTGAGTCAATGAAATCTATGAGAGAATGAGTGGGAGTGGGTAAAATTGACATACTTAGAGATTCTGTAAATAAAGATCACCTTCCCCTTCCATAATGTCTGTAATTGTCATACTAATTTCCTACAGGGAGAAATGGGTAAACTGTATGTTGTCAAAATCAGAAGTTCATTTTTTCTCTCATCTGCTCAGTAGCAAAATAACCACCCTGACCTCTCTGGAGCAGGGCACGTGCAGGAGAGCAAACTGTTCCTACTAGATGGTGACAGTACAAACCTCTGCATTAATACAGGTCTGGCCAAAATGTTCTGTATTAGGATATCTAGAAACAAGTAAAGGCAGATTACACTGAACAGGACCCAAGTCTAATTAAAAAAGAAGGAATATTAAGACAATATTTTGGTGTGCAGGGATAGGGTTGGGAAAGCCAAGGCAGGTCCATCAGCAGCAAAAAGGCAACTAGGGAAAAAGTGGGCCTGCTGCTGAATGGGCATGGATGACACAGAAAAGGCTGAGATACTCGATGCCTTTGCCTTGGTCTTGACTGATAATCCCAGGTCCCCAAGACCAGAGGGAAAGTCTGGAGCAAGGAAGACTTACCCTCGGTGGGGGAGGATCAAGTTAGGGAACATTTGAGCAAAGTGGACGTACGCAAGTCCACGGGACCTGGTCAATGCCTGGATTTGACAGGAATAAATAACAGTGCCGCAGTCTGTGCTATTTCCATCTTCCAGCTGTAGAAACAGCAGTAGCCAAGTGCTCTTTTTGTGTGAATTTATGCACTTTGGAAAGAAGACTCCTAAGTAATTATAGTAGTTCAGGCTAATTTCTCTCTGACTTTTAGATGGTATTAAAGAGAAGGAAATACTTGTGACGGAGAATCTCCCACATAAATCTATAAAAACAACTACAAGGTCTAAGACTGCAAGACAGCATTTCCTGAAATAATTGGAAACAGGATAAAACATTGATCCATATAAAAAAAATTTCCATTTTACACATAGATATATACACCTCTAGACTGACACGTGCACGTACACACCTGCATACATAGACACATTCCAAACTTGTATCTGTCTCATCCTTAAAACAAGCAGTGATTAACACTGACAAAATACTCTTTTTCTACTAATAATTAAAATTAGTATTCAGGAGGATTTTCATCTATGTATCATAAACCCCAATAATTTAAATAAAACAGAGAAAGTATTATTTCACCTAAAATTTGAATGTTGACTCTTCCGCTCATACAGAATTCTGCAGTATTTCTATTTTCAGCAAGATTAATATTTTTTTTGCTGGACATGTTATTTCTTCAAATAACAATATTGAATAATGATTCAAAGATGGCTAATTTAATTCTCATGGAATTATTTACAAAGTTGACATGATCTTTTTTGAGGTTTTTCACTCTCCTCTTCAATTTTATAAACTTTTATAATTACAACTCTATTCCTTTTCTCTGTTTTACATCAAATTATTTAGATTAAATCCATCATTATTTAGATGACCTAGTTCCTGAATAAGAACAAAATAATTGCGAGATTTTCACTTCTTAATAATGGAATTTCAGTGTTCATTAAGCTTATTAGTAAGCTATTATGAACACTGCACTTTAAAAATTACGTTACCACTCATTTATTTTTTTACTGTAGAACCATACATTACATCATTCATGTTATTCCTCAAGAAAACAACATTGCATTTGCATCAAACTGATTATCATTGTGTTATGTTGCTTAGATACTGTAAATTTCAAGTTTAATGCATTTTATGTAGGCATTTTACTTGCAAATAGCAAGCACTGCTTCACAAAATACATACTCAGAAAACATTTGTTATAGTCTGCGATTTACAACCTATTATGGAGAAGGAGTTTCTTGAGACAAGGTTTTATATATTCAGCAATATTAAAGCTTTATCAAAATACTCAACACATACCTGTTCCCAGGCAAAGACATGTTGATTGAAGTAGAACTGAATTTGTTCATTGGCAATGTTGATACAGAGTTGTTCAAAAGAATTTTTTTTGAAATTCTCAAAGCCAAAGATATCAAGAATTCCAATGTTCAAACCATCATCGTCTCCACTGCAAAGATTAAATAAACTTTCTATTGTTGTACCTTTATTTTACACTGACTAGTTTCATTACTATTTCACAAAAGGAAATAATGGGCCAAATCTGTATGCCAGGTCAGCAGGATATTTTTTGCTAAACCAGATATCTCTTACAATAACAATCAATTTTTGTTTGAAATACAATAAATGCACATCAATTCAAAGATGACTGTATTTGCACATCAGATATGCTGAATCACATAATGAGCGAGTCAATTGATAAGCGTGTAGAGGATTTACAATTTCACTTTTAAACTAATATTTGCTAGTTATTATTATTAGTAAAAAGGTGACTACAGTACAGAAACAACATGCAGTTCGTTTTGTTTCTTTTGTAATAAAACAGGCTTTACTCACCAGCATCTTGAAATTAAAGATTGCTGTCATTAAATATTATTTCTTCATATTATTTATTCACAACAATTAAAACTGCTTATTTTAACATGAAAGTCAAAAGAATTAATAGCTAGACCTTTTATGCATCTAAATAACTACGTTAAGTACTGGAGTGTGGTATGAATTTAAATTACCAATTAAGTTCCAGAGGAGTACTACTAGTAAAAACTTCAGTTTGAAATTTTAGCTAAGGCATTCTGAGAGGTATGTGGTCATTTCTGCAACTGGAAAAAACCTCTAATATTTGTATTTATTTGCTGAAACAAAATATTAAAGGACACAAAATATTAAAGTTGACATTAGTGTCTTTTCCTAGCTAAATTAAAAAAATAAATCATTCTATCTATAAAACCCCTTTGAGGGGCTATCTGTAACCAATGTTTGTTTTTTTTTTTTTTATAAAAAGTTTAGGAAATTGGATATGAAGAAGCAGCCTCAAGATACTCATGAATAGCGCTTGAACCTCTTTGTGAAGTCCATCTCAAAAATGGAAGTGCTTCATTGTGGAGGAATCAAAGGTATTTGTCGAATTTGACCTGAACTTGGTGACTATTTTATCTGTCTGGAAATCACATCTTTTGTGAATAGTCTGCTGAAATTTGTCTGCCCCATTCCTTCTCAGAGCTAATTACATACAAATAGCAAATACAAATTATTTTACTACCAAAGCAGACTTCTGGGTTTTTTTTTGTATAGTGAACATTTCAGGTCGAACTTTCTCCCTCCTCACCAGCATAATAAGCACTCAATTTGAAAAGGGATCTGTAACAGGCATGTGAGAGAGGCACACAGGCTAGCAGTGCTGCGCCATGTACCATGAATTTTATCCTATCACTTACTGATTAAAGTTCTGTTTATTGCTGCTCTGCTGTAACCAAATATTTGAAAGTTTAGACAAATTTTAGGATTGCAGCCTTGACTTTCCTCTGATGTTTCAAAAAAAAAAATCCAGAAAATCCAGATTTGCAAACCAAAGCTATTATTATTATTATTCCTCTTCAAGTAGTTATAAGTTTGCCCCTTTTCACTGCTATTATCAGCCATAGAGGGCTCTGACCTATAGAATCTACAATGCAAGCCATATAATTTCTTCTTTGGTTAATTTGCAAAACGTGTTATATCCTCATTCCCAATATCTTCCTTGTCTCTGTGTTTAAAATGTCACCTTGTAGGGGTAGGGTGGACATTAACCTCAGTAAATGTGTTTGGAAACTGCTCTCACACATATATGAAACTATGCTCGTAACAGCGACAGAAGCAACAGCATCAGTGCAAACGAGCAGAATTTGACCTATGTAATCAACAGTTGATAGTCAAAAGTTGACCCTGAAAAAGTCTAAAGGAAAAAGTAGTTAGTATGTAATTTACAAAGGGTTAAATGATTAAAGGTCAAACAGGAAAAGACCAGACACCTGTGCTATCCATATCTACTGTATTTTCACTGCATACTATGAATAGGATAAAACCTTCTTTTTTTAACATGGTGGTGTCATAAACAAAAAGGTAGCAGAGAACAAGTAGATGAGAACACTAAATGCTCTAGTATAGACAATATTATTCCCACAGAAAATCTTTCTTTATCCTGGAAAAGCTTCTTTTACCTTAAATGTTTGTCAGGTTTGAGTAAAGTGTTGATGCGATTGACTATCCAGCTAAAGAGGCGCCCATACAGTGCTTTGGCCATGGCATCTCTGACATCGGTGGCTTTTTCCACAGTGTTGGGACGAATAATTGTTTCTCCTCGAGTCACTACACAGTGAGAGGTGAGGGCCTCTTGCAGTTCATCTGCCTGAATACACAGCAAGGACGCACCTAGGAAGGAAGGTCACAGGCATAGCTCAGAGGCAGATTTAGAAGGAAAAATACGCATTTTTGCAATCAAAGCTGCAAGGGCAACGTATTATGAATAAGGGCCAAATCAAAGTCTCGAACTATGACTAATGAGGGTGTCCACACCAAACAACTGTCAGTATGTAATTTAGTCACAACCTTCCTAGCTTCCACTGCACTCAATGAGTAAGTGATTCAAAGCAGAGGTCTTTAGGTTCTAAATGGCTTTATCAAGGAGGTTATTTCTCCAAACTGTCTACAGAGAAATGCTAGGGAATCTAGGTGACTATGTCAGGAGTATTTAAGTTGTGAGGTGTGAATATCCCTCTCAGCTATAATCCATCCATATAAGCCACTGCTGTCCTCCTTTTGCTCCAAAAAAGGGGTGCTTCTTTCCCACTTCCACAATATTTTTCTATCTATGGCAGGAAAACATGTAAGAAGATAGTGTGAAGACTTCATTGTCTCCCCACCTGTAATACTGAGAAAGAGTAGCAACTTTCTTGAGAATCTTTGCCCCTTGCCCTCCTCTGCCTCCTGGCAGCCTATAATGTAAGGTATCTCTTCCAAAGAATTAGTGGGCCATATTTCAACAGGCACATGTGGGGAACAAGTAATGAGTATCTGAGAAAGAAATGGGAAAAAACTATTCAACATGTTAATGAGGTTCTCCATCAAGTGTTCAAATAACCTTGGAAAAATTCCAAAGATTTTCTTTTCAGGCATCTGCAGTATTAGTCATGTTTCCTGAATGCCAGTGAACTGGTTAGTCAAATAAGGTGCATAACATGGAAAATTTTTTCTTTTTTGCATTTGAATTCAGGTGGGCTTAGAATTAATCTATCTTCAGCATTTAATTATTCTTGCAAAATTTCCATGTGAATACAGTTTTCATTGATAACTCTCCTGCAATAAATGAAATTCGCTATCAAAACACTAAAGGAAAACAATCTTAAATCAAGAAAAAACACTCACAATTCTCAAGGGCTACTGGATTGGAAATGTTGCTCTTGTCAATCATATGTTCAGATACCACTGCAGAAAATTCAATGTTACCCACATTTAAAATGGCAGCCAGGACACTGTACACACTTCCAAGTTCCTGAAAAGTATATTAAAAAAGATGCAATACTTAATAGTCAGATAGATTTGTCACTTTGGTTTGTGCAATGGGCACGTGTGTGTGTTGTTTCCTGTTGTCTGCCACATGCCCACTACTTTTAGGAATACTGTTCTCAGCAGTAATTCCTTTTTCTGTACTCAGCATAGTCTTTCAAGTATAAGACACCCAAAAAGGGCAAGGCAAACTACAGCCTAATCTCTCTTCCATACTTGTCGACAGGACAGGATTGACATGGAGTAGGGGAAGCACAAAACAGTGGTGAACATAATCCTCTTACACAGAAAGAATTCAGAGGTTATTTATATCCATCCTTCACTGTGTCTGCAGGCACAACCGTGTCTAAAAATGTAATACCTAAATCAAGAAAAATATAAAATAATCTGCATCTATGTTTTTTGGATCATGGAAACAAAGGTATTAATAGGTCTGCAACAGCTCTCTACGACATCATCAGAAAAAGTTTCACTGGGAGAAGAGTGAGACCTCACATCTCTGATTTGGCAAAGCACTTTACCCTTCAAAATGTCATTTAGGAACTGTGTACTCATCAAAGAACTTTAGTATGAACTTTACTTAAACATATTTAAATTTCAAATGATTTAGTAGGTTCTGAAGAGGGATTCTGCCTTGAAAAAGGCTAATATTAGTCTGGACAGTGAAGTCATACACACAGTAAATTATTTCATGACAGTAAACATTTTACAGTAAATTTTATTTTATGACAAATAATATTTACAATTAATGAAATAATTCTTTCGTTGCAGGTTTGACTTAGATTTGAACTGTAAATTTTCATCTGAACGGTGAACGTTTATCAGTATACTTGATAATCTCTGAGTATTTTCTACTCAGAAATGCTGAGGTGTTGCTGTAAAGCAGACTACGTTTTAAGCTAGGAATCTGTGATATGATATATTCTGCAGCACACAAGTAATAGTATATTTTATAAATAGCAGTTTTATAAGTTTTATGGTAGTTTTATAAGAAGCAGTTTTGTAAATTTGACTGGTATTTTATAATGATGGACTTTTCATAATTGCACAGCATTTTATCCCTAATATTCAATAGTTTGCTGGTACCATGCCAGGCATCATTTACTGAGATAAAGTCCTTAATTGCTGTAGAATACTTGATCTTGTTTTCAACACTTTCAGAAGTTAATCTAGCAGTTAATAAATAAATTATTCCAGTGACAGCAAGACAAACTAGATAAGCTCATTCTAAAAAATTATGCTTCGGATAATTGGCACACAGTTTACCTAGGTTTTAAGCAATCATTTTCATTTTAAGCTTAGGCACACAGATGAAATGCAAAGAAATGGATAGCTTAACTTCTGCCATTATGCAGTACAGTATGTATAGTTGCTGACATTTTTGTGCCCTTTTCCAGTGGGTTTGAAATCTGGCTTGATCTGTCTCATACAGTATGATTATTGTTCACCTCAGGCAGTCCTTTCCTATTCATTTTGCCATGCAGCCTGAAAAAAAACAGTGTGATTTTAAGACAGGGAGTACTGACAGTAGTTACTATTAAAGCCTGCCAGTCAGTTAAAAACAAATTTCAAAGAAATAAAGCCTTGTGTAGGTCTCAGTTTTAACTGGAATGGAGAAGATATTCTGTCCAAAGTTTTCTGCTAATAAAACATGGAACATGCTTATATAGAACCTCCTCTGTGCACTGGGATGAATGTCAAACCTTAAGGCTGCATTACTAAAAAGTGAACTTAGAAAAGGAACTCATTGTCTTACAGTATCTTTTTCTCACTGAAAATAAATTGTCTCTGCACATGTATTCTATATCAGAACCTCAGCGGGGGAAGAGGACTTCTCTGTTCCTTCACTCTTGCAAACACAGCCTCAGACAGGCTAGTTCACCCTGTGGAGAATGTAAGACAGGCTAACATGGATGGGGCTCGCATGTAACCACAGTTAGATTGCCTATGGTACTCAACCTGCTTCTGAAACTGTGGGGGTTCTACAGCAGATAATTCTTCACAGATTCAGCTCCCGGTGGCTTGCTAAGATAATCAAGTGAAGATCCACCCTAGAACTGCACTATGTGGCCAGTGACCTAGTTCTAATTGGATCTTCAACAGGTAAGGAAGGTCTTCTCTTTTGGATGATCAGGATTATTGTTTCTATCCATCCAAGTGAACAAAAGAACCAGGAACAAAAGCAGACTTGCTGCTTTTCATGGTATAAATTACGACTTATCAAGGTCTCTGAAGCTGTCACAAAACTGCTATCAGTGCTGAACTGTGCATATCCTTCCATGTTGCTTCTGGAAAGGTGAAAGTGCAGGTGTGAAATGATGTGATAGTACAGGTGTGATATTACTAAGTGCAGTTCTGAATAAGCGTGTAGAGGAGAAAGAGACTGCGAACTCCACTGCTACTATGACTTCATGCAAAATGAGTATGGAGGAACAGAATAGGTGAATAAATTTGTTCTGCTAGCTATTCAAATATTTACATTGAGGGAAGCCAGAAATATTCAACTGAAGTGAGTAATTTTCTGTGAATAGCTCCTTACACCATGCAGTTTTGTCAAATAAATTAAAACATACATTCATTCTGCAGCACCAGTGCTATATTTCACAGATACTATACAGATCATACTCCTACTACCTTTTGGATAAATTAAGTCAGCGGTAAACTACAGCTATGATGCACCACTTCTCCTAAAAAGAGAGAACTAGGGTGCAGGATGGGGTTTCCTTCCCTTACATCCTACTTTATAAATCCAGAGGCCTGTTTTTATTTTAATTATACCAAAGACAGCCTCAGCAGAGGGGTTTAATGGCCAGCAGAGCAATCATATGAGATCATAAAGAAAGAATGGGTTCAGTTAATGTTTAGCGATGAGATTCACTCCAAAGCGATGTAAAAACTTCATTTAACTTTACCCCTGGAGTTGTGAAAATGTATTGAGTTCATCAAAACTCAGATCAACTCAATGAATTTTTAGAAGTCTCACCATGGACTTAATCTTAAAACAGAGAGGAGGCTTATATTCACAGGCCTAAAATTATAGGCTAATAAATAGTTACAACATAATTTTCTAGGCATTTAATTTGCAAAAGCCTTTTTTTCCCAATTACTCAGCTGTGCTGTGTTCACTGATCTCAAAGTCTTGTTGACCAATACCATTTTATTAGTTTATCAATGCCTTGAAGCCTTAAAAATTTAAATGTGGTAATATAACAGTAAGTTGACCATGCAATATCCTAAACACACTACTGTTAAAAGAAGAAAATAACAAGGGAGATTATTTGAATGCTTTATACAAGTTTTTCCTGATTAAGGTAGCCATTAAAGTTCACCAAAAAAGAAGGGTTATGAGCACTCACCTCCAGTGTAAAACCTATGACTTTGAAGCACTGTTCAATTAATTCAAATTGAGACTTATAAAAGCTATTGTTCATGAAATCTTGCACTATTCTGAAATGATCGTTTTGCAGATATCTGAAAGTGTTGATGGATACAGAGTTAGAATGTAAATGAGGTTGAGAATTCAACAACACCACATTTCTTAGTAATCAATTTACGTAAAAATAAACTGCATTACCTGGGAGGTCTATATTCTGGCAGTTTATAAAGTGCCAGTTTTTTCTTTTCTGCCAGACCAGCATAAATATAATAAAAAATATGGAAATTTTTCTCTCCTCTGAAACAACAGAAACAACAAACTGGTTTAGTAATGTAACTGTGTTACATTTACTGATGACATACATGCTATTATTAAATGTTATTTTAATAACAGTCAATAACATGCAAACTGACAGAGGACTCTGAAAGAAGCTTTATTACACAAGTTCCTGTACTCTTTCTGTACCATTATGTATTTGTTCAGAAGCTGCCAGGGCAGCTGCTCAGTGCTACAAGCAGCTAAATGCTGCTCTGCCTTTGATGCTATTGGTAGATGCTGGGTGAGATCTTGCACGTTACTCATCCACCTGGATTAAAGGGGCTGTTTAACTTCCAGTTATTTCAAAAAATCTTTTTACCATGGGAGAGCTATACACTCCTGATTCACTGAATCCAGTATGGTTGCTGTGTCCGTTAGCCCTGAGCCAAGAAAGCACATAAGCAGACATTCAGCGAAGGGACTTATGACTTGGCATGCTTTGTCTAAAAGTTAGGTGCCCAAACCCAGGACAGAAGGTTTATTGCACATCCAAGGTTCCTGTGCACCTTATGAGGAAGAACTAGATGCGTAGGTGGAAATCTGCAACCACCACTGATCCCTGAGATGGCCAAGTCACTCACTATGAAATGGCAAAAAGGAATCGTGTTCAAACCCCCGATTTCTGCATGACTTGAAGCGTGTGTCTCAGGAGCACCATTACATGCTCTTGTGAAACAGGATCAGAGCCCAGTGCACTCCTCTCTGCATGGGGGGTGCCTAGATCAAGATCCAGTGCCAACTTAGTTTGCATATTTTACTGTGGACAGTCAGTAGTAGAAAACAAGATCACGCTAAACATGTCTGTGGCATTTTCTTGTGAATTCAGATATCTACACCTACCTAAATAGCATTTGAGGCACGTAAATGCTTTGCCGACCTCCTGTCTCAGCATGTGGCTAAATATAAATACAAACTGACAGCCACAGAACAAACCCATGAAAACTTATGAAAAAAAGTGGTATTTTAAGGAAAAAGCTGATTTTATTCTGAAAAAGCAGTTTCTGTGCTTATGTTCAACTGGGAAAAAAACCACCACTTAATAAAGTTGCCTCTAACTTTAAATTGTTTATTGAAACATTCCAAGTAATACTTAGTTGTTCTTCATGTCACAAATGTACAACAGGCCAACAAGGTCATGCTGAACTACAAAAAGAGTAAAAATGAGTAAGAGAACAGCAAGGGGAAAAATTTAAATCAGTGACAACATTCCTTGTCTCAAACTCTGTTTTTCCTATTGCTATTATGGCAGAAATGGAGTTGCCAAAGTATTTTTTATCTGGATGTGCTATATATTAGGATAGAAAATGTATGTCAATAATTTAAATTAACTAGAAATGCCATTTAATTTTTCTGTCATTTTATATTATGAGATACACACATGACAGAAATGGATCTGTTCTGCATTTGGTCCATAACCGTTTATAACCAAATCCTACTAGATGGTCCAAAATGGAAAACCAGTACTTTGCAGACAAACAAACAAAAAAAGCCCCTACAATACTAGAGGAAACGTAGAGGAATTAAATCCAAGTGATATATTTAACACAGTACTTCAAACTTCCACAAAGAAATTGTGGAAGAATAACTGAACTATTAGAAAGTTTTTAATTCTTTACACATTCTGATACACTTTATATATCACATATGCATTTTTAAGAGATTTGTTTAAATAACCCAGGAGGCAATGAAAGAAAAAATCAGGAGTAACTTCCAGCTAGCTTACAGATTTACAAGCTATTCATATATCGTTTATAAGAAAAAATCCCAGTACCTTATTCATCTTCGTGTTTTGATCCAAGATAATTTCCTGCATTGTAGGCCTACTCTGTAACCCTCAAATTAAGTCAAATATAATTTTTATACTTACACTGCCTGGTGGACAACTCTGGATTTTTCAAGGAGATACTCTGAAATCTGAGCTCCTACTACAGTGCCACCACAAGTGAATTTCATTTCCAAATATTTTCCAAATCTGCTCGAGTTATCATTGATGATAGTGCCTGCATTCCCAAATGCTTCTACGAGGTTATTCACCTGGAGGATCTTCTCCTGTAGAGTCCTGTTATTAGCCTGGATATGAAAAAGATATTGCTTAAAATTATCAGTAATCATTCAAATACATTCATTCTTAAGTGTTTCTTTCCTCTTCTAGTTGGTATTGTGAAGTGTGACATCATCAGGGCAGCCATTCCTATGTGAATCATATGGAAAGAAAGGCATGTATATATCATGAAACCTGTAAGAATATAGCAATCTGCAGAACTAATGGCTGGCTGGAAGAGATAACGCACATAACGACAACACCAGAACTAATCAATTTCTGTGGTCCAGCACTCTGAGATGGCCCGCCTACTTTTAGGATCCTTGATAGCATCTGCTTACTGCTGCACTGCACCATACTGCTTGCATCTCACCTGGGACATGCAAAAATGGCATTTTATTTAGACAATTATGGTGGTCACTTCCCAGAATAACCATGTCCCACTGACAGCAATCTAGTTGTGGAAGGAGGTGAAAAGCTAGAAGAGTGTTTTATTTAGTACAGTTTGGGTGATTTGAAGACACTTAATTAAACAAGGTACAGACTAAGTCACAGCCCTCGCTGCAGTGGGTACTTCCTTGCAGAATCCCCAAAATATTGTCAAGTGACCCTAGTTCAGGAGGGAGGAAGGGGTAGATAGGTCAGCATCGTGTTCCAATCTGACCTTACAGAAGTTCTTTGGAAAATGTGTTGCAGTCTTGCTCCCCTACCAATGCCCTGTCCATAGGTTCAGTCGATTAAGCCTAAGATAGCAAAGCCTTACAGAGGTATCCCCTTTGAAACATACCTTTACCAGAAGATGGGCACTTTGTGTCTTGCCAGCTCCACTTTCTCCAGAAATAACGATACACTGCAGAGAACAAGAGTATGACTCTGAGCTCATTACATATCTCTCAGCCTAGCAAAGGATTTAATTAAGACACCTCATCTTTACCTGATCAGAGTTGTATGTCACCATGGACTGATAACCTATGTCAGCAACAGCAAAAATATGAGGAGGGTTGGCAGTCCGTTTGGCTCCAATATACAGTTTGGAATGCTACGCGTAAGAAAAATGAAAGCATTATCAGCGTCCCTTAACAACTTTTTTTTTATCAGAGTTTAGTTTTATTTTCAGATTAGTGCACAGCATGCTGAGGTTACCAGCAGTGATGTTTCCTGTGTGAGCTGTTACTGCGCTCACTATACCATGAATCTGTAGTACTTAGTACTATAAGAACTGCTAAAAAAGATGAAGCACAATTTTGTATGATGTCAGCCCTGATTACACTATAAAACTCGAATTATTAGAAGAAAATTTAATGTTGCCAGACATCAAGGACCAACTAACAATTTCATTTTATTTGTATTTCACATCCTCTTAGTATTTCTGCATGATATTGATGTCAAAACTTAAGATCTTTTCTATATCTGTAGTATCTGATAATTAATAATGCCAAATTAGTGTATGACCAGGCTTTCATATCTGTTCCCTTTTGTATAATGGGGAGGCAAATTCACAAAAGTTAAAATTTTCCAGGGTTGCTTTGTGAACTGTCTGATCAATTAAATAGCTATGGCTTCCCCAGCTCTCTTGAGAGGAAAAGCCCCCAGCTCCTACCTCCAGCCATTCACAGAAGTTCTCTATGGGAAGTGGACGAGAAGGAATGCTCCCTCCCACAAAGAGAGGTAAGATTCACCTGAATAAATGCACTTATCTGTACAGATACTACTTCTGAACTAGCTGCTATAGGCAGCTAGCGCCTTTACACTCTGTGGGGCTCTAGTCAACCAATCTCATGAAGTTTAGCACAATTTATCTCATCCTAGAATGAATGTTGAAAGTCATTAGAAGAACAATACCTCAAAAATCCTATTTCCATCTATTGATTAAAATGGATGACTTGCTCAGATACAGCTGTTTGCACTTTAGACATGATACAGATATGATCTACACTATAGATATAAAGATACCAGAAATTAAATTTTTTTGAGTTTCTCATTTCTGTGCTGAAATTCAGCACATGATAAGGATGTGTGTCAACATGCACTTGAAGGGACAACTGTATTGGTAATTCTGGTTTTCAGAGTGAACTGAAGTAACTCTCAAGAATGGTCTTACTTTATACTTAACACAAATATTCATATTTTAATGGAAATCAGTGCTAGTTTGAAAGAACCAAACCTAGATTTTCACACCTGTGAAGAATAAATATCTATGTTCCGAAATGGATTGACAGCGATGAGAATGTCCCCAACATATGTGTAGATCTGATCCTTGGCGTAACCCTTCTGCAACTGCTCTGTTACTGTATTCTGATGAAGGAAGAATAGGAACATGGAATCACATGGGGAAAAAAAGAATATTAGAAAAATGTATAAAATATTTATGTAGTTACAATGAGTGAGGATAGAGACGGAAGGTATTAATAGTCAGGAATACAACTGATCATGATCAAAAGTAAGTAACACTTTCAAACACACTGGCATTCCTAATTTCTTGTGTCCAAACTCAGTTTGAACAATATATACTTACAGATCCCCAAGTGCCTGTAGAAAAATGAGTTAATAAGTACTGCTTTAATTCAATTAATCAAAGGTTTCCATGAGACAGTCCTGTCTTCATTTCTAACACTACAGCTTCATATAACTCATCAAGCAAGAGCCGAATGCTTGAATTCATAACTGCCATTGCAGCTGCTCTGACATTACTTTCAGTTACGATAAAAATGGATGTTCAACTGTTTGGATCCTATTAATGCAAACAATCAGGCATCTTTCTATATTAACAAGCAGTCTCTGCTGTAATTGTTCTTTGCTGCTGCAGAGCCAGTTCTCCCTGAACCAAGAAAAAAGAAGAGTCCATTAGTGGCATACCCAATTTCTTGACATAATTTCCCTCAGCTTCTTCTGCATATGGAGCTGGGTATGTAAAGTGCCTGGTTAGGTTTCCAATCAAAACAGGACATAGAGCTGGATGAAGAAATTCAAACCAGCCTTGAGGCTATTCTGAGGTATATGTGAAAATATTTAGGCTCTATTCCCACTGGAACAGAACGACTGGCAGCAGAGGACCACAGAAGGAATTGCTTTCCCTCCACATCCATCTGTTCACAGTGTTGTGCACTGTGTTCTGGTTAATGCACTTAAAATCTGAATTCTCAACAGCCGAAGAGGTTACATTTCCTTCACAGGAAAACATAAGGAGAAAACCTTGGTTTTCCATTGCCTTGATAAACTCTTCCCTTTTTGGTTTTGAATACTACCTTGCTTTTGGCCGTAATCAGATTCACATTAACAGAATTTTTTAGGGCAACTTCTGCCCTTTTTGAAATTATTTCTTGCACTGATAGAAGGTCTTCTGTTTGGCTCTTCTGATGGGGCTACCTAAACTGGAAGAAAAGTTTGAATGGAACAAAGGAGACAGTTCTGAGAAGCTGCCATTCATACGTGAAAGAGGTTTTAAACTGGATTGGATTTAGTAAAATATCACATAGTCAAATGATGCCTTTAGATGGAGGTTTCCTGAGGACTTTCCTGAGAATGCTCCACCTCTGAGGAGATGGGATATACTTCTGGCTCGTCTGGTTTTTTGTGTGTCTTCTCTTTACCTCAGATTGTTTACATGCTTCATGGCAAAAGATAAAAACCAGTCTTGGTAGCATATGGCTATTCCCAATATTTAAAAAATGCTTAAGATTGAGCTTTGTGCAGTAGATGAAGTCTGGATTAGCTCAATCGATATTAACTAAACATTAAGCTACTAAACCAAGCTCTTGGATGATGGAAGATGTTCTGTGGGCTGTCAGTTTACCAGTTCAAGAGCCACATTGAATATTCTGGACTGACGAAGATACAATGTACCAGAGAAGTTTTACAGATACGACAATGTGAATTATAGTCTATGCACAGCCTGGTAGAGGAAGAATGACCGTTTGTTTACAACCACTGCTGGCCTCTAAGACCTGCAGATAATGTGCTGTGGCCTGATTCTTCTTTCTGGTTTTGAAGCTTAAAGCATAACACAATAGACTTCCCTCCTCTTATGCATGTTCCCCTGCTCCTAGTGGACTCATTTTCGAACTTCGACAAACCAGTGAGATTTGTATCAATAATTTTGTCAAAAGTTCACCAGAAGGCATTGATAGGTCAGAGCCTCAGCTGACATAAATTGATCTCAATGCATATCCACACCATAGTAAGTCACTGAGAACCCAGCCTAGGAGAGTATGATAAGCATGTTTAAGACAACTCTAGATGTCCAAGCAACAGGGGAGAAGGTGCTTGTTCTTGGACCTGGACCAATTTCAGGTTAACACATCATTGCAAACCAGACATTTAGCTGTAATAAAATCCAGCAATATAAATCCTGTTAAGCAAATGGTGCTACAATACTGCTCGGTCTAAGGCTGTAACTGCAGAGGTGTTTTAGTTTTGAGTTGGAACCATTCCTGACACGGCAAATCTCATCTAAAATATTTGGCATAAACTGGTAAAATGCCATTGTACACTTACACAATTGAATTGTGACAATATAATTGAACTTGAAAATCAACAGCACACCATTGTGTTTTAATACGTGATTACCCCTCTTCAGGAAAACGTGAAAAAGGAGGTTCTTACCTCATCCAGTACCTCCAAGGTTGCTAAATCATCTACCTCTTCCTGGTTTGAAACTAGTGACTTACTGTAGTTCCCTTTTTTTGTATGAATGCGTTCAAATCTAGAAAAGAAAGACATGCAATTTCCTGATGTAAGGAAACACAGAGCAGATCTTGCATCTGTAACCATCTTGAAGGCAATTCAGCCAAAATATTCCAGCTTTCCATTGTTCTGAATTCAAACACATGAATGTTTGAATAATAGGACAGGATATAACTTCTTAGTGTGGCACATCTGTACTTGGCGATTCAAAATCTATGGTTTGATCCCACAACTGATACCATGAAGAACTTTTTCACGGTACAGATCCCTGCTTGATCACACTTCTACATCTGCTGCAAGACTGGAGCTATGCAGTACAGGGGAAAAAAGAACATATTTATAAAGCATGTAACAGTCAAACTCTGGTACGTACCTGCAAAAAGGAAAATGACCCAGATAAAAATTATGGATAGAACAAAACCAGGGGTGTATGATGAAACAGTATGGCAAGGATGATGAAGACAAAGCATTCAGGATGGAAACATTTCTAGCTCAGTAATGACAATGCTCTAAAGCCTGGCTGAGATTGCCACACTGTAGAGCAAAGTGTTATAGAACCACTGGGGTATGTGAAATATATCCTGGCCAAGAAGAATTTTCTTGGTCTCTACAGGAGAAAAATTGTACAAAATAAGGAAAGAAAATTTCAAATCTTTTACTTATCAGGGTTAAACTTCAATTAAGTTTGTCTTGAAATGAAATTTCTTTTCTCTTTTAATCAAACCAAAGAAAACTTTATGCAGTCTTATAGAAATTAGCAGGAAAATTCCCAGAGACTTGGATCATTCTCTGTCCAAGAGTAAAGGCATTGCTAAACGAAGCAAAAGCAGCAGAAAATGCAATGTCTACAATTCACATTAGTTATACTT